GCTGCTATTCTCACTTTAGATGAAGGTTTACAGAACAAAATAGTTTCTCATTAAACAGTTGGAACACAAGTTGCCCTATGACAACGGTTAACAACTCCACTATGTGTCAACACTGTACTTACTCAACCTTGGGTTCCCTATCACCAGCTTTCCTGTCCCCTTCTGCCTTCTAGTCCTTGTCCCTGGGCTGCTGTGCCTCATTAGTCCCATTTTGTTTCATGGGGCTGTCCAATCCCCGGCTGAATGGTGAACCTCGGAAGTGACTTCACCACTGAGCTAAAAGGGTGTCTGGGGGCCATACTCGTGGGGTTTCTCCAGTATCTTTCAGCCCAGTAAATCTGGTCTTTTGTGTGTGTTAGAATTTTGTTTTACATCCTTCTCCAGCTCTGTCCAGAATCTTCTATTGTGATCCCGGTCAGAGCAGTCAGTGGTGGTAGCTGGGCACCATCTAGCTGTACTGGACTCAGTCTGGCGGAGGCCTTGGTAGCTGTGGTCCATTAGTCCTTTAGACTAATCTTTTCCTTGTATTCTGTTCTCTTTATTCTCCCTTGCTCCTGAAGGGGTGAGACCAGTGGAGCATCTTAGATGGCTGCTCACAGGCTTTTAAGACCCCAGATGCTACTCACCAAGGTAGAATGTAGAACACTGTCTTTATAAACTGTGTTATGCCAATTGAGCTAGATGTTCCCCGAAACCATGGTTCCCACAGCCCTCTGCCCAGCAATTCAGTCCCTCGGGGAGTTCGGATATGTCTATGGAGCTTCCATGATATCAAAAATGCTATCTTGAGTTTATTCATTTATTGTGTTATTCAGTCTTCTTCACTTGTTTCATGTATCTATGCTCTATCTCTGCAGTCGTGGGACTGTAAACAGCACCTGGACAATTATATCATGCCTTTTTTTCTTTTGTACAGTAAATCTGTGTTTAATATGATGCCTTTCACAAAAACAGGTATTCAGTACATAATTTTCTAATGAGCTCTTGACTATTAATTTTTGTGTGGTCAGATAACATATGAAAAGTAGTGAACACAGTGCCAGGTATGCGACAGGCACTCAATATTAAACAACAAAAAAAGAAAGAATAAGACATAAAAAATAGGTGAAACAAATAGGCTTATTTTCTTCAGTGAAAAACATAATTAAATTCTAATTAACAAAAAAGCAGAGCTTCATTGGTCAGGCTCTTGAATAAAGTTCAATTTTGACTCACTGACTGGCGGATTTCCAACCCAAGACGCTCTTGAAGTCTTTTGGGTGGGTTACTAGGTAGAGGAGATAAAGGCTATCTTCTGCCTGATAGTTATACCCAGGAAGGAGACAGGTAGAACTAAAAACAATGCTGAAATGCAGCAAAAGTAGTGCTATATCCTGTAGGAAGAGTCTCCTGGCGTAAAATGCTTCTCCAGGCAATTTATTCTGTCAAATGCTGTCAATCCATTCATCCATTCCTCTGTGTGTGTGTGTGTACATGCGCTTGCATGTGTGCACATACATACACATGTGTGCATTCCTGGGCACTGCTTGAAGGAAAAGGGTCTTTAGATAAAACCACAGCACTAGTTAGCCTGTTTCCTGGTATTCAATGGATATATTTAAAGACACTGGCCTAGGCAAAATAGCAAGTGTTCTGCCCTGCTTCCGTTTTCACGTGGAGGAGTCAGTCTCCCAGCCCTCACTGTCCTCCGGCACTGATAGTAACACTGAGGTCACATCTGTGGCTGGTATTTTTATCCCCTGTTATACACCTGTAGCAGGCTGGGAATTGTATGGAGTGCAAAAGGGGCACAGTTTCTCTCTTAACATCAGGAAGACATCTGTGCACAGAGAAAGTCTAAATCTAAATAAAAATAGACCTAGCAATGATGAAGCATTTGAAACCCTCTACATTTCAGCTATGCATCCTTTTCTTCTTTAAAAAACAAAACAAAACAAAAAAACAACAAAAACCTCACACACATTACGTTAAAAAAACTTAATTGTTAAATAATAAATTTCTTTTCCATTACAAGCAGTTAGAAGATAAAATCTAAATATAAGTGAATGTATTAGCAATGTTAGATAATTAATAAATCTTTATGGAATGGAAAAGTAATCTTAAATTATACTATATGTTACACAAAATCATTTTAGGAATAACGTTGCATGATTTCAATTCAACTCAATAAATAATTTAATACTCTAATGTATGACAAGTTTTGATTTGGACAGGTTACTCATGGTAGCTAGATTTTATCATTCTAAGAGCCTGCATGTCAAAGCATGACAGTCATGGTTCTGTTAGAAAATTAATTTACCTGTTTGTAATGGTTACAAGTGCAGGAGAACAGTAATAACCACTGGAAGCATGGTCAAAACTTCGGAGGACTGTGTCAATTTTGTAACAGAATTCACCATGTCTCTCCCATCCCTTAAAAAAGGAAAAAAGGAAATTAAGGAGATAAATCTGATTTAGTTACATGGCAAAATAACCTTTTTTTGCATATTCTCATTTACTACTTAAATAACTTTCTTCTCTGACCCACACAAACTCCTTGAATTTTTATCTTGATATCTTTATTTTATCTGGTGATGCTATTAGCTACAGTCACTTCTATATTTACTTAACTAATTATCTTAAAACCTATTAAAAGCAAATGATTCCATATTAGAATCTTGATCAAAAGGGGGAAAATAAATAAAAGAATTTAAAATCTCATGGGTTCTAGACTTCCTGGAGCCATGGAGGGTGGATGAACCCTGAAAATATTGCCCCGAGATAATCTTTTTATTATTATTATTATTGTACTTTAGGTGAAAGTTTACAGAACAAACATTTTCTCATTAAAGTCAGTACACATACTGTTTTATGACATTGGTTAACAACCCCACGACATGTCAACATGCTCCCTTCTTGGCCTTGGAGGACCTTTTTTTTTTTTGGTGAAAATATACATAGCCAAAGATAAACCATTTCAAAAATTTCTACATGTAAAATTCAGTTACGTCGATTATGTTCTTCCAGTTGTGCTGCTATTCTCACTTCAGATGAAGGTTTATAGAACAAAATAGTTTCTCATTAAACAGTCAGTACACATATTGCCCTATGACAATGGTTAAGAACCCCTGAGATAGTCTTTAAACCTTAAACCAAAAATATCCCCTGAAGTTATCTTAAAACCAAACAATAGTTTAGCTTTAACTAGTAAAAAAAGATCTGCCTTGAGCATTATGCTCTTTTAAGAACTAACTCTAGTGGGATCAAACTGACAACAGCAACTCAAAAGATTAGATAGTAACCTCAGGGGGCAGTGGGTTTATGCTAATGAGGGAGGAACAACTTCGAAAAGGAGAGTGAGAATGGTTGCACAACTGGAAGAATGTAATCAATGTCACTAAATTGCACAAGTAGAAACAGTTGAATTAGTATATATTCTCAACCACAGCAACAAAATAAAATCTAGAAAAGAAAAAAAAAGCAAATGAACACGAACACACACACGCACGCACACTCTTCAGACTTAAGGAATTTTATACAAACGGTCCCTACAGGAGGTAGAAATTAAAGTGTTGGCTCTAAAGTCAGAATGCCTGGGTTTGGATCCTGGCTTCACCACCATGTACCCTTACTCAATCTCTCTGCATCTTAGTTTTTCTCATCTGTAAAAAAGGGGTAATAGTATCCATGGAGTTGTTCTGGGGATCAAAGGGAGACAACGCAGGCAGAGACCTTAGAACAGAGCCAGGGTCTCGGTGAGTGTTCCATTACTCTTACCTATTATGATTTTGGAAACCCTGGTGGCATAGGTGGTTAAGAGTTTGATTGCTAACCAAAAGGTCACAGCAGTTTGAATCCACCAGGCACTCCTTGGAAACTCGATGGGGCAGTTCTAATCAACTCGAAAGCAATGGGTTTTTTTATAATTATTATTATCATGATTATGAGAGTGTCCTGGTGGCACAGTGGTTAAGCACTAGGCTACTAACTAAAAGAAAGGTTGGCAGCTTGAATTCACCAGCCACTCCGTAGGAGAAAAAGTGGCTGCTTCTGCAAAGGTTACAGCCTTGGAAACCCTACAGGGCAGATCTACTCTGTCCTATAGTGTCGCTATGAGTTGGAATCAACTGGATGACAATTTTTTTTTCTTCTCATCATTATGAGGTATTTAAGTTGAACAAAGAGGACATATGCATCTAGATAACATTGCATTTTTTCTTATGAGTTGGAATGGACTCAATGGGAATGGGTTTGCCCCCCCCCCCAATTATCTCATGTTATCTCACTGAGATTTGTTGAGATTAGCGATTTAGATAACGTCACAGACTAGTGGATCTGCTGGGCCTAGAGCCCAATTCTAGTGTAATCCAGGATGGTCTTGGCTGGATTACAATGCTTCCAAATGGAGAATAGCCAAAATAGATACTGTAATGCGTTGCTTAACACCCACAATACTTCTGTGAAATAGGACCTTATGTGATTTGTACATAGTGCAAACACCGTATTAGATACAGGCAGTCCAACGTCCCCTAAAGCCTATTATATTAAAACCTTATGGGAGCCCACCGGACAAAGCCTGAGAGTTGTATCCACTGGCAGCCAGATCGAGACTCTGTGCACATGTGGGGAAGGTGGGTCGCGGAGAAGTGGCAGCGAGGAGCGGACCGGCGAGGAGCCGGTGTGCAGGTGCCGGGAGCACGGCTGAAGGTGGCGGCCCTGGCTGCGGCTCCTCTATTGGTGTTGCCGCTTTCAAATCAAGCGCAGTGGTCGCCAGGAGACGGATCCCGCGAGCACCCCGCCCGAGGCAGCAGCTGAGGAGCGTGGCAGGCCCTGCCCTGTGCCGGGAGTGAACCGAGGGGAAGGAGGAGGACGCGGAGCCGGAAGCCCTGCAGGGATTGAGATGCGCCCTGGAGCCCCGCTGCTCATTCGCTCTGGGAGTTTGGAGTTTTTAAAACTATTAGGGGCAAATAATAAGCAAAAGGAGAGCTGCTTTCCCTTTAAAATAAAAAAATTTCTTACGGGACCACAGACATACATGCGGCCGGAACTGCCGGAAAGGACATTGTGCGGTGCATGACGGTATTTTGTTGTAAAGATTATTCCTAAATTAACTGGCTGGACTTTTAGAGAGGAAGAAAGCAAGACTTGGCCCTCGGACAAAATGCAGAACGTGCAGCTCCGTGGTTAGCCCTGGGAGCTATGAAAGGTGGCTCTATTCTTTAAAATCATACGGGCACAGGACTCATGAGCTCATTAATCATCTATATTTCAACTGAGTTATTTTAGTTTTTTTCTTACAATATTACAAAATCACATCACTTCTATCTATTTTTTACTTATTCGCCAGTTTTAAAATATCCTACCCTTTGTGACATGCCAATACTTACCAGCTTTTGATCAGATAGAAAATGATTTATAGCATATTCCTTGGAAAAGGTCTTGGTCTTGCAATAAAGTAAAGAAAACCTTATTTTAGAAATCAGCTATTTTAGTTCCAAACATATTAGTAAATGTCGTGAGTCATAGGTGCTCCTGCATCTAGCAAACCAGTGACACCTGCTCTGAACTCATTCCCTTTCACTTCTACCTGCAACCTTGTCTGTGCGAAGTAATTGACAGCTCCAGGCAGAGGCCCTGGGAGGAACACCCAGTAATGGGGGCAAGGAGGTTAGATTGCTTTTGTACTTGGAAGGACAGGCTGAGGAAGGCTGACAAATTGATCTTTCTGACAAAATATTTCCTCTTCATTAGTAGCTTTTAGATCATAGACTGTTTAGCAAAATATATATGTATATATACATACAAGAACAGATTTAAAAAAAAAAAAGATGTGCCCTAGTTATAACCAGAAAAACTAAAACTCTTTACTATAAGCCTTTGTCCACTCAATGAAAGTGGGAATAATAATTAATTATATTGGTTAATATCCTTTGTACACTAGGTGCCATTTCATTTTTAAATGAAATTATGCTAATGACAATTCTGAGCAATTGCTCATATTGTCCAATCCTAAACAAGCGACTCAGTGGAAAAAAATACTTCTTCTTTTCCTTTGGAGTTATCAAGACTGAGATTATAAATTGACTTTGCATGTGCAGACTGTTTAAAGAATTGCATTGAAATAAATTGCTGAAAGAACTGGTTAAGACCGTATTCATAGATGTATGCATATTGAAATTAATGGGAATTTTACCATAATGCTAGAGAACCATCTCTGACCTTAGAATCTTTAAATGCTGGTAATGCTGTTCTGAGAGGGAAACAGTAACTTAAAGTTTGTACAGAACATCAGTCAACATCTCTGATCAGAAAGAGATTAGGTAAGTGATCAGCTATAACTAATTCAGGAACTGTAATCATTAGATAAAATATTTGGTGACGTGCCAGGGATGCAACGTGTATGTCCAGCTATGGGGTATGAAGAGTTGTTCATATGTTTACACATTGATTAATGAATAAAATGCAGTTTCTGGAACATAAATTATTGGATTAGAAGAGAAAATACTTAACATACAGTTGCATAAAAACCAAGTTTGGGAAAACGTTGAGACTCATACAACATAAAAATTCCCAATATTTAAATCCAAATTCATGTGTGTGTGAGAGAGAGAGAGAGAATGTGCTGAGGACACTGGTAGGTTCTAGGTTTTTGCTTTACTACAGAATATTGAACATATTTTGGGAAATTTAAAACAGATAATCTTCTACCTTTTAAGTTTAAATGTAATGTATCAAATATTTTCTATTACTTCAAAACCAAAAAAACCTATTGTTGTCGAGTCAATTCCACTCATATTGACCCTATAGGACAGAGGAGAACAGCCCCATAGGGTTTCCAAGGAGCGGCTGGTGGATTTGAACTGCCGACGTTTTGGTTAGCAGTGTTAAAGTCCTTAAAATACTAAACTTAAATAATCTTTTATTATCCCTTTCCCAAATAATAAATATATTGCAAAAAATGAATTCCTCTCCGTTACTGTATCCTATTTAAATATTTAAGTCTAAGAAAAATGAAAAGGAAGGCAAGACTCTCGGTGCAGAAATTCACTCTCTGACTCAAAGGAATTCATGATTTTTCACTCTGACATCCCACTTCAAAATTATGAAAACCATATGTGTGACAGGGCATCATGTGACTGTCATTGTTTGTACGGTTGGTATAACAGGATAATTTACATTTTTTTATCTCAAAAGAAAAGTAGTTTTAGGTTGAAGTGGCTGATAAGAAAATGATCCATAAAAGTAGCTTTCCCAGAGCTATAAATCCTTCATATGCCTCTAGCTGGTAATTGTTGGTTTGTTAAAAGTAGCCCACAGAAAAAAAAGGAGGAAGGAAGGAGAGAGGAAAGAAGGGAGGGAGGGAAGACGGGGGAGAAGGAAGGAACGGAGGAAGGAAGGAAGAAAAACGGGGAAGGAGAGGAGGAAGAAAAAGGAAGGAAGGAGAGAAAGAAGAGAGAGAAAAGGAGGGAGGAAGAGGCAAGGAGGAAGAGAGGAGGGAAAAAAGAGGGCGGGCAGGAGGGAGAGAGATTCACTTTAAAGTGACAGTGGATAAATGATTCTAGTAATGAAAAGTTCCTGTAGACAAACTGCAAGGTTAAAAGCACTTACCTCTTGACAGCCTGATTCAGTGTCAGAAAGGACATGGCCTGCTTTTTTACAAATGTAAAAAAGTGTTTCTTCACAATTTTTAACTTTCCAGTGTCCCTCCTAAAAGGAAAATTGTTACAAGATGAATGAATACACTCCATTATTGATGCCATGGGCAATACCAATTATTATGAGTAAAAATATGAATAATAATATGTGTTTCTCAAAAAGTTAAACACAATTACCATATGACCCAGCAATTCCACTCCTGGGTATGTACCCAAGAGAAACGAAAACACATGTCCACACAGAAACTATGTTTATAGCAGCATTATTCATAATAGCCAAAAGCTGAAAAGAACCCAAATGTCCATCAAGGGATGAATGGATAAACAGTTCACTTATGGCACTTGCATACAATGGCATATTATCGGGCCATAAAAAGGAATAAAGTACTGACATATGCTACAACTCGGATGTACCTCTAAAACAGTGGACGGAATGAAAGAAGCCAGACACCAAAGGGCACATGGTGTATGATTCCTTTAGAGAAAGTATCCAGAATAGGCAAATCCATAGAAACAGAAAGGAGATCAGTGGTTGCCAGAGGATGGGGGTGGCGTGGGGAATGATTACTTAATGGGTACAAGGTGTTCTGGGGTGAAGAAAAAGTTTTGAAACTAGAGAAAAGCGGTGGTTACGCAGCATTGTGAATGCACAAACTGCCACTGATTTGAACACTTTGAAAACGGTTAATTCTGTTATGTGAATTTCACCTTAATGAAAAGAAAAAAAAAAGTATTTCAGAATGGGGTAATATCTGAGGACCCTGCAATGTCATAGGAAAGGGCTGACACTCTCTCTGAGTGGGAAGTTTCACTCTCTTGCCAGTGCCAGAGTGTAGACAATTCCAAGGTATGAAATCTCGGACTGGGTGGGCAGGTGGGGAGGAACTGGTGTTTCTTGATAGTCTGCCACATGCTAGGCTTAATGTCAGGTGATTTTCATATATTTTCTCAACGTTCCTGTGAGGTTGGCATTGTTGTTGTTAGTTGCCCTCAAGTCGATTTCAGAGTAGAACTGTGCTCCATAAGGTTTTGAAGGCTGTGACCTTTGGGAAGCAGATTGCCAGGTCTTTCTTCCAAGGTGCCTCTGTGTGGGTATGAACTGCCAACCTTTCAGCTAGTAGTCGAGCACTTAACCATTTACGCCACCCAGGGACTCCTTTATTACTCCCATTTTAAAAGTGAGGGTTAATACCTTGCACAAGGTACTAGAATCAGTCAAAATTGGAGCTAGGATTTATACCAAGGTCAACTTCATATGAAGCTGCTTTTAATTTTTTTTTTTTTTTTAAAGATGGATAGAGCAGTGGTTTTCAGTCTTTAGTGGGCATCAGAATCACCTGGAGGAGTTTAACACAGATGACTGGGCCCCAAGATCAGAGTTTCTCCTTCAGTAGGTCTGGTGGGACCCAAGAATTTGCATTTCTAACAAGTGTTCGGGTGATGTAGATGTTGCCAGTCTGAAAGCCACACTCTGAGAACCACTAAGATGAAGCCATCCCCCGACCAAGTGAGAATGTTGCCTCCTCTCTTCAACCACTGCTAAGTATTAAATTGAATGCTTTGCTGCTTTTATTTGTATACCTGATGCTGGGGAAATGTCTGGAAGCTACCATGAATTACCCTAGATAACATCCTCATAGCTGACATTCATGTTCAGCCCCCGATGTCCTTCTTCACCACTAAGTCTCCACACCCCCACCTCATTTCCTCTTTATATGACAGGCAGACATCTTAATGTCTTCTCCTGGTTCTACCGAAGGCAGCTCTCAGAGCCTTCATTAATAATGAGATACAGTAACTGCTAACAGATTAAAATTTTATTCTCCTAAAGGATTTCTAATTTTAACACAAATCAGAACCTTAGGCTAAAACCACACAATTCAAAGTTGAGGTGGTATCTCAGGCATCCAGGATTTTTGGGAAATATGGAGCTCTTCCATCACCCTCAGAAGCATGCTATCTGGGAGGCTGATGCCTTCATCTGTAAGAGAAGGCCTGCATCCCTCTCCCAGGGAGTCTCCTAGCAAACCACCCAGTTTATAGGATAGTTGGATGGATGAATGAACGAATAAATGAAGTAGTTTCCTAGGCTCTCACATTCAAATTTCCATGTCAACAATGATTAGGCAACTTATTAAATATAACCATCATATTCAAATTAATTACTACTTCATGGAAATATTAAGTTTTAAGCATCTACTAGTTAAGGTGTTACTGAACTGCCACAGAAGGGACCACAGCACATATCCCACTTAAATAGCATTGTCTGGCACATTCAATAAAATTAATACCTTTCCTTACTCTCTTAAAAGTAATCCTGTTGTCCAAATGTTGACTCCTGCTCTTTATTTTATTTTTGACTCCTGCTCTTTAAATGTGCTAAATGAACTACCCATGTCTGTCAAATAAAAAGGGAGAATATCCACAGGAAATTAAGGTCATCTTAATTATATCAAAACCAATGAAACAATAAAGAATTAAATACTATAGAATAAACTATGGTGTGTTTCAGCTGGTCTTGACCCAAGACAGAGTCCCTGGGTGGTACAAATGGTTAAGTGCTAGGCTACTAACTGAAAGGTTGGTGGTTCAAATCTACCCAGAGGAGCCTTAGGAGAAAGGCCTGGTGATCTACTTCCAAAAGATCATAGATACTGAAAACCCTATGGAGCACAGTTCTAGTCTGACAGACATGGAGTCACCATGAGTCAGAATGACTTGAGAGCAACTTGTAGATCCGTGACAGACATCTATGGAGATCATTGTTTCTCCCTCCTCAAATATGACTCTGATACACTGCCTTAGCACTTAGATTTGAAGCTGCACATGTCCGTGCCAGCCTTAAAAAATAAAACAACAAAATGTGTTATAAAATAACTGCTTAGAGACTTCTGATGTTTGGTTGGCACAACTACTTGGTCAAGTTACTTAAATAACATTTAATAAGCCACTCCATGGGGGACCCCAATATGGTATCCTGGGGGCTAGAAAGAGGCCACCTACCAAGTACCAATAGCCTCCTAATCTCAGTGAATTCATTACAGTTCAGTAGCTCTATGATCAAGGAGAATAAATCTGTTTAAAACATACAATAAACCTTTTACTTCTCTTGGGATTTAAGTAATCTGTATAGTCAAATGTTTTAGATAAACAAGTGACTTGAAAATAGGGACAATGATAATGTTAAGGCCACATTCATGTGAAGAAATGAATAAGGTTTTCCACTGATTCACCATTTTCAAAGAGGTTATGCACACTGTTGAAATCTTTTTATGTTAATCAGACTCCTCTTCCAAACCTCACTTCTTCCTCTCATCTCCACCTTGGTGGTTAATGAAACCACCATCTACCCAGATGCTCAAGCCAAAATCTTCCTGTCTCTTACCCCTCATATCTAATTTAGCAGCAAGTCCTGTCCTCCAAAGGATCCTTGAATCTGTCCAAGTCTCTCTATCTTCATGACCCTAATTCAACCACTGGAGTAGCCACCAAACTGTTTTCTGTCCTTCCATTTTCTCTCTCTCCAATCCGTTCTCTATGTAGCAGCCACAGATACCTTCTTTTTTCGCTTCTTATTTTTTTCAGTTACTTTCTAAAATGTAAATCAGATCACGCCATCCATCTCCTTAAAGCCCTTTGTTGTTAGCTGTCATGGTGTCAGCCTCAACTCATGGTGACCTTGCACGTTGTGATCCATAGGGTTTTCACTGAATGATCTTCCGAAGTAGATCATCAGGCTTTTTTTTCCTAGTCTGTTTTAGTCTGGAAGCTCCACTGAAACCTGTTCAGCCTCATAGCAACACACAAGCCTCCACCGACAGACAGGTGGTGGCTGAGCACAAGGTGCATTGACTGGGAACGAAAGGTGAGAATTCCACGACTGAACCACCAATATCTCATTACAGCCTTAAAGTGGCTCCTATACCGAGGCTGATAAGCCTGGTGTTTTTGCGTTCCTCCTGCCCCATCTCCTACCACCGCCTCATCATTCATACCCTCAGGCCATAATGGCCTCCTTTTGATTAACAAATACAGCAGGCCTTTGGGTCTGGCTTGCTGCCCCTCTGCCCAAAATGTTCTTCCCCCTGCTCATCAGGAGGTTGGCTCCTTCTCATTCTTTTAAGTCTCAGCTTAAATGTCACCCCTAGACTTCTGTGACTGTACTGTCTAAAGTAGCTGTCCCATTACTACCATGTCACCTATTTCCTTGAGCAATCATCATAACTATATTTACTATGTGTTTTCTTTTGTGTGTGTGTACTTGTTCACTGCCTAGCATGGAAGCCCTGGGAGGAGCAGGGACTGTGCCTGTCTTGGTCCCTGCCACAGCCCGAGTCCCTGGCACAAGTGGCCCTTAATACCAGCAGAGCAAAATGAGCATTGAATGAATGAATGAACTTACAGGGTGTTCTGCTGAGACACACAGTTGGCTTCTATTTGGAAAAATTTGGGGCTCATGTGTTTGCCAATTAGTAAAGGTGACTGAGGAGCCATTAGACCATTCAAAGGACACTGGAATTTTACTGCTGCTCAAACCAATCCATGTTTCGGATGCATTTTCTGTAAAAGATAAATGTAAATTACTTTCAGGAATTCTGTTATCTGCAAAGGGGATAACGCACTGGGACTATTACCAAAATGTACCACTTTGAGTGTGATTTCGTCTTTATTTTTCATGTGATGAAACCTGTTTAAGTCTTGGTTTAAAATACCTGTTTAAACCATTTTTTTTCCCGATAATATCCCACTTTTCGTGATACAGGCCTTGTAAGTGAGGCAGGGAGTGAGCTGAAGTCAAAGCAAGGACAAAGCTTAAGGAAGTCAGATCCCTGGGACTCTAATTAGTTCCTGTTTCTGTAGGTAAAGTAGATCAAAATAGTCTGGTTTTGCTTCTGCCTAGAGAATGGAAAAACAGGAAGGTCCACTGGACTAGGAAAATTATATTTTTTTAAAACGAAAAACTGTTAATGATAGTCTAGTTTTCAGATGCATTTTTTTCTTTGTCTTTTTTCCCTCAGGGGAAAGAACAGCAAAAGCTCTCAGAAGTGTTGAAATGGGAGCAATAGGATTATTAGAAAAGTAAATCAAGCTTGACAGCCTAGGTAGGATGAAAAGACTCTAGGTGGCTGAGAGAGACTTTAAAGCCTCCCTGTCGGGATAGGGAGTAGTCCTGGTAGCACAGTGGTTAAGCGCTCAGCTGCTAACTGAAAGGTCAGCAGTTCAAACCCATCAGCTGTTCAAACTCACCCACTGTTCCACGGGAGAAAGATGTGACAGTCTGCTCCCATAAAGATTTATAGCCTTGGGAATCCTACGGGAGAGTTCTACTCTGTCCTAAAGAGTCACTATGACTTGAAATCAACTGAATGGCAACAGGTTTTTTCATTAAGAAAGAGGCACCCATAGGATTCTTTTAATCCCAAAAGCAAAGGGTGAGGAAAAATTACAGAGAAGGATTTTTGTTGTCACTCCAAACTAAAGCCTAACATTGGAAAGGTATCAGAGTACAATCTGGGGATTTTTTTCATTTTAAAATATTTGCTCTAAGTCAGTGATTTCTATTTTTCGGCAGAATTCTGTGTTAAGTACATAAACAAGTAGGAGCAGAGGTACTCTCATGGACTAAAGCTGGGTGGAGACCCAGGAGCTTGGAACTCCTGAACACTAGACACAGATTGAAAAACCACTGCACCAAATACATTGTGCGTTTTCACTGGTTAAAGTTATTTAAATCCAACAACTTGCCTAAGGGATTTCCTTTAGTGCTTGGATTACATGACAGCACACTATTGCTATCTAGTGGCCATAAAGCTAAATTACAGGTCCAGGTTTTTTATTATACATTCCAGAAAATGATCTTTGTCCCTTTTTAAAAAACATTAAAAACCATCCACTATATCTGGAATATGTGAAGATGTTACAAAGTTTCTAAATATGTATTTTGTAAAAAATCTGATTTTTACTCCTGGAAAATATTTAGAAACTTCTGGCATATATACCATAAATAATCACTTTTAAATAGCTTAAATTTCTTTTCAATTCCACTAATAAAAATAGTTACCACATTATATCTTCATGCTTCTTAAATCAAAGGAAGTTGACACTCACCATTTCCAAGAAGGGTTACAAGAAACTCCACCTCTGCTAACGAAGCTATGCTTATTAATGTGCTGTTGTCAGACTGACAAGAATGCAAAGCCTCATTCCAGGTCTTCTCTTCTTTCTGAAGTTTGTAGCAATTACGATTGTAGGGATCCCAGCTGGGGTCACAGTGTGTAGCATAATATTTCCAAACATCCTTTTCTTCTTAAACCAACAAAACAATGTCATTTTTAACTATTACTTTAGCATTACTTCTTACCCTTAATAATAAATTGCTATCAATATATGATTAAACATTTTAAACACAGTAACATATAACACGATGACATAAAAACCATAGAATCCTAGATCTTCAGAGTTGAGAAGGATCTAATCTAATCTCAATGCTTCATTTTCCAGATGTGATAGCTAAGGTCCACAAAGGTTAAGAGACTTGCCAGAAGTCATACAACCAAAGTGGAGAGTCAGGACTAGATATAAACTTTAATAGTTAAGAGTTGTCCATCTTTGAGACCATTTTAAACTTAAAAAAAAATTATGGAAGACAATTTATATGGTATTCCAAAGATTTTATATACAGTATGTGAGAGAGTGTTATGGATTAAACTGTGTCCCCCCAAATATGTGCTGGAATCCTAACCCCTATATCTTGAATGTAATCCTGTTTGGAAATAAGATTTTCTTTGCTATGCTAATTAGGTCATAACGGAGTAGGGTGGGTTCTAAATCTAATCTCTTCTGAGCAATTTAGACACAGGGAGAGACAGATGCCATGTGAGGATTGCCAAGGAACACTTGAGGCTACCGACAAGGAAGGAATCGACACAGCTGAGACCCTGATTTGGACTTTTAGCCTACAGAACTGTGAAAATATAAATTTCTGTTAATGCCGCATACTTGTGCTACTTCTGTTATACCCCAAACCCATTGCAAACTCATTACTGTCGAGTCAATTCCAACCAATAGCGACCCTATAGGACAGAGTAGAACTGTCCCATAGGGTTTCCTAGGCTGTAATCTTTATGGAAACAGACTGCCACATCTTTCTCCTGTGGAGCAGCTGGTGGGAGCAGCTTTTGGTTAGCAGCTGAGCGCTTAACCATTGCACCACCAGGGCTCCTTTCTGTTTCAACAGTACTAGGTAATTAAGATAGAGGTGTAGATATTTATGGTCAGCTAAAAAGAGCCTGAAATCCTGATCACTTCCTCTTGAGCAAGGCTGACAAATAGGACTCATCTTGAGTGTTAGTCTGAGAGCCTGGTGGTGTCACTCTGGGTTGGCCATTGCTGGACTTAGAGGAAAACAATTCCATGATGCTTTAGACATTGTAGGGGAAGGTGGTGGTGTGCATGACACATTTTGACTCTCCTTGTCCAGGAGCTTGTCCTCAACCTGGTAATAGCATTTTTACCTTATTTAACAAAACCACAACTGGGTGCCTCCCTTAAGTACTAGTTTAGTCAGATACAACTTCACTGCTATTTGAAAATGAAGACAGAATCTTTTAAATTGCTTCTAGGACTCAGATAGCAATTACAATTATAGAGAATTTTAGAACATTTAGATATCATCTACTTCAGTGGTTTTACAACCTAAAAAAGTAGCCACAGAACCCTTTTTAAAAATGGAGTATTATATGTCACTGGAAAGGTAAGATAAAAAGGTAGAAGAGGGACCACTCTGATTGAAGGAAGAACAGGGCCAAGCAAGGAACCAGGGGATCCTGGGAACACAGTTTGAAAACTCTGGATAGATCATCAAGAGAATCTACTGAACTTGAAGCAACAAGAAATAATCCAGACAAGCTTAGTTTAACATTTTTGGTCTTTTAACCTCAATTAGTGTATCAGAAGAATAAATAAGAAGGAAAGAAGGGTAGCAGGAGGGAGTGTAGGAAGAGATAAGGAAACAAAGAAAGATAAAACAAAGAAGGAAGATGAAGGAAGGAAGAGAGAAAGAGAAAATGACAATCACAGCCTGAAGCAATTTCAACCAATCCTTGAAATAAAGAAAGAATAGCTATGTAAAAAAATGACAAGATGCTTCTTTTTTCTTTCCCTGAATATTCTACAATACCCCTAGGCTTGGCTATTTAAAAGAAAATGAAAGTTAAAACCTAATTGTAAGGAGCAATATCTAAAAAACGATAATTTAGCTTATTATTTTAAATCTAAAGTGGTTTCTAATTATGCTTCTTTTAAAAATGTTCTGTTTCTATCTCTGTTTTCCGAGCTAAGGCATAAATTCCCACAGAAACTAGAAAGAAGCAATAGACCTTATAAACGGAAATAATTGGACTTCAGGTACTAGATTGTAATTAGGTATTAAGTCTTAATTATACCTAAAAGTTTTGTATGTTATGGGGGGGGGGTGTTACTAATAAGAGATATAGAGTATGGTAGAAATTCAATGAAGTAAAGAATTCTATAAAATTATTTTCTGATTTATTTAATTTCCAGGGGAACCATAAATCAAACTCACAACTAGAATAGAAAAGGAAGTATATATTGTTTTTCTAATGCAGAATGACTAAGAATACAAATTTTTTTAAAAAAGAGAGGAATAAAATGTTTTATATGGTCAGGTTATTTTGTTTTGTTGTTGTGACCTGCTGTCGAGTCAGCCCCTGACTCGTGACAACCCCATGCGCAACAGAAGGAAATGCTGCCTGGCCCTGTGCCCTGTGCTGTCTCCATGATTGGTTATAGATTAGTTTTTACTAAAAACCTAATTGTATTTTTTTAAGTTCATGGTACCTTTGGAATAAAAGATATTATCTAGTTATGCGTTTTTATTCATAGAAATACAAACCAGCCTTAGCTAAGTTTAAATGACTAATTGTTAGCAAAAAAAACAAAAAACAAAAACAAAACGAGGAATTTGAATATATTCAGAGGGCAATTAAGCAATGCATAAGAACAACTTAAAATAAAAACACTTACCAACTACTTCATGATCAGTGTGATTTAAGTATTTTTTACATACATAAGGCAAGGCGGACTCACAATCCCGACTCTTCCAGGCATTTGGCATGAATGAGTTAAACGTCCCACAGTGATATTCAACAAATGGCTCAAAGTTTATATCTGAAAATACAATGCCGTGTTTCTTTTTAACATTAGACGCAAATACGATTAGTTTAATATATGTATATTAAAATATAGTTTTAACATCAAGGGGAGCAGCCCTTCTCTTTGCCATATGCAGTAAATTCTATAAGACATTATTTTGTCTGTACTTTCCCAGTCAAAGTCCTGGCATGAGAATTACATGATTTCTCAAAGATCAAGAAAGAGTCGGTTTTATTGTTTTAAGTACAGAAATATTTTGCAACTTGTTGCTATTTTTAAAACAACTAACTGGAATCACGGCTCTGACCCAAATCCTCTTGCTGCATTGGCTAACTAGCTTACCTCTTGGCTTCCATTTTCTTGTCTGGAAAAGCTTGTCTCAAAAGAATTCAGTGGGGCTTAAAAAATGTTTATAAGGCACCTTCAGAATAACATGTGTATATACTTGGGAAATGGTTAAGGCTGTGGGATGATGCTACATATCACAGGTAAAAAAAAATTGCTCACGGTACCTGGGCTCCAGTTCAGATAATTGAGCGGTGTTCCATCGGACCACTGCCAGCCAGCATTTTCATCCAGCTGATTCAGACCTATCCACACTGCCACTGCTTCACTGCTTAAGTGCTCTGAAATGAACAGAACTACAGATTAAAAAAAAAAAAAAATCAATGCTACATTTCTTTCGTTTTCTTATTCCTGGAACATGGAGTCATAAATTAATCCCAGTCAATGACAGGAAAGTTTAGGTGTTACCAAATCACGCCCTAGTTTTTCAGAGTAACAAAGCAAGCTCCACTGTCTTGAGAAACACAGCCTTCTCCCGAAAGGCTCTCTGACAGGAGTTCTTTAGCTGTGAGGTGCTTAATCCAAGCCTCCAGAGATGATGGCTTTCAGTGGCCATCAGGCTACAAGGATGCATGGTTACAAATTTGAGGCCACCTTATTGTGTGAGCTCACGCACTTACTAGTTTTAGAGGGTAGAGAAGGAAGTGTCGAAGGCCATGCCCAGAAAGTGCCTGTCTCTCTCCTTCCCCTGTGCCTTGTGCTTGCTGGCCTCAGCTTGCAGGCTCAGATTGCCAGTACTCTGAGGCCATCTCAGGCTCTGAGTAAGGGGAATAGGAGGAAATGCTGTTAAGTCTGTATAATGGGTACGTGTTTGTGTACATATCATTTTCTGCACTTTTCAATGTTTTTGAAAATTTTCACAGTTAAAAAATTAAAAACTTTAAAATGCTTATCTTTAGGAATCTGGTAAGGGGAAAGCAGATAAATATTACTGCTGAAAGGAGGTGAGTCTTCAAATTTAAGAAGGTATATAAAGCAGAGAAGGGAAGGGGCTGTCCAGTGTGTGATCCAGTAGAAGCTTTCTCGCCAAAAGGAACATAATTCAAGGGACCAGAGTATCCAGAAGAATCTATTGCAGGCTGGGAAAGGAAGTAAAACGAACAACTCTGAGGGGGAGGATTTAATATGAAGGCCATGCTCAGTGCAAACGAGAGGCTATTTTTTATCACTGCGTAGGAGAAGTTTTTATAGCAGGCTGGCTCTGTGGTCTCTGCTCCTAACCACTGCACCATGGCTCTTCATGTTTGGATTCACTACCATTTTTGCTATAGATACTATGTATGCTCACATGCACTGACATGCTGGTGCAGAAAAATATGGTTATCAAAATGGTGGAATTATAGGGTGTTTTTCTTTCTGTATACCTGAATTTTAAAAATTATTCTAGGATAAATGTACTACTTGTGCAATTGGGTCCCTGGGTGGTGCAAACAGTTAACGCGTTCAACTGTTAACCGAAAGGTTGGTAGTTTGAGTTCACCCAAAGGAACCTCAGAAGAAAGGCCTGGCGATCTACTTCCAAAAAAAAATCAGTCATTGAAAACCCTATGGAACACATTTCTACTTCGACACACGTGGGGTCGGAATTGACTTGATGGTACTAGTTTATTGGTTTACCTACACAATTAAACTAAGAAAAAAATGTGTCAGAAACTTTAATGAAAGTGACTAATTGTGTGACACTTTCAGATGTTTTCATTCAATTGTTTAGTCTGTAATGGAGAACTTGTTTCTCCTATGGTTCATCTGCTTCAGAACCCAGTTTATTTTGAGCCAGATGCAGGGACCCTGCCTGAGACAGAGACCCTGGCAGATCAGGGTTTTAAATTGGTGACCATACATCCCAGTTTGCCTGGGAAACTCCCAGTTTATGCTGGTGGCTTCAGAATACCTGTTAAGTACAGCCTCTTTTACAGTCAAAGAGTTCCAGTTTGGATGGTAGATTGCATGGCCACTCGGGATATAAAGGTTGGTGTCTCTACCTAATAAGGCTGCAGCATCTTCTGTGATTGAACATTTCATACAATAGTGGAAAACTGGAAGAACCTAACTCACCTAAGAAAAGAGCAAAAGGTGCTTTATAATTTAGAGGCTCTGAAAAAGCACTAAACAGAAACAGCATAATATACACAGGCTCTGATCCTTTCAAGTTTCTGTGGCATTAACATGCAGTCTCTTCAACTTTTCCTTTCAGTAACCCCCTTGCATTAAATTATCTAACAGGTATTGTGATGAGGATACATTTAATATCAGGATAAGTGACAAGTTATATTTTCAAATAATTTAATTAAAATATTAACTGTTCTTATCTTGGACTTATTTTGAATACCCATTGTGCAATTGTTTCAATAATACACATAAAATAACATCATTGTGTAATTTGTAATCTGTGCTTAAAGATAGAAAAGCAGTCTATTTAGCCTGACGACTAAATGGTGCCTGATTTCTAATACTGACTGCAATAACAGACTCAAACCTAAATTCTTTTGGATATTTCTTGGCATTCGTGACAGCTTAAATAATTCCTTATACCATAGTTAATGTCCACCAGTCATCTTCTTATCAGAGGAAAATTTAAAATTTAAGCTGGTAGAAAAAGCAATTGGCAAGACAACTTAGGCTATTCTCTTCACTAAAAAAACAAACAACAAACAAAACCTGTATCAGAGCAGGATTCCTTCTTTATGGGTAGAATTCTGCTTTCCTAAACAATCCCCAAAGTCTACTTATAGAATTGAAGTATTTAAATCAAAGTCTCTGACATGTCTTAGTTTTTTAAAATCATTATGCAAGTTTGATGAATAAGTCCAAACCCTTATTAGAAATCCTAGCAGTTAAGAGAGATCATTTTAATTCATAAATGTTGTGCAAAATTTTACATAAAAGCCATTACAAGGTAATAGTAATTTTGGAAATTGGTGTTTTCCTGCAATATGACTCACTCAAATTGGTTTCAGTGATAATTTCCTGCTTTTGAATGGTGGTAAGGAAAGGGCACACATGCATTGTTCACGTACTTGTTACAATCCTTCCGGAAGACACTAAAATATGCTTAAAAAGGCTTAAAATGTGCTTCGGTTCCATCCAGTGAATCCACTTCTACAAACTTATACAGAAATAACTGGGAAACTATGCACAAAGATATGGGCAGAGATGATTTATAGTAGCCAAAAAAAAAAAAAACGTAAAAACTAAAATAAAAACCTAATTAATAATAGGCAATTGTTGTTGTTAGTTGCCGTCAAGTCATTTCTGACCCACGGCAACCCCATGTGCAGAGTGGAACTGCTCCATAGGGTTTTCAAGGCTGTGACCATTCAGGAGATCGCCAGGCCTGTTTTCCAAGGCGCGTCTGGGTGTGTTTGAACTGTCAATCTTCTGACTAGTAGTCGAGTGTTTAGCCGTTTGCTCCACTCAGGGACTCCAGTAGGAGGTTAGATAAATTTATTATCGCCAAGCTACAGTACTACGTAACCATTAAAAATTACGATGTAGATCTGTGTTTGTAGACCTAGACAGATGTTTATTATATGTGCTTACGTGAAATAAGCAGATGACTAAACTCTATGCATAGTTTTGTGAAATAGCTAACAACACACGTTGAATGTTCGGTATGTATGCCAGGCACTTTTCTAAGACTTCACCTGCACTATATTTTTATCTCCATTTTACAGAGGAGGAGGTTGAGGCACAGAGAGCTTAGCTCACTTGCCTGGGTAAATCTGCTAGGAAGCAGTAGAAATAGTATTCAAACCCAGGAACTGTGGTTCTGTGGCCCCTGCTCTTAACTACTGTGCAACAGCTGCCTCATGTTATTATTCAGTTCCATTTTGTTACAGATACTATGTATACACACATGCATTTACATGATTATACAGACAACATGGTTATCTCTGGATTGCAGAATCACGGGAGATTTTGCTTTTGTTTTTCTTTCTATGTACCTGAATTCCTAAAACTATTCTGGAATAAACATGTACTACTTGTGCAATAAAATGTGAAAAATTAGTGTCAGTAATTTTTAATGAAAGTGACTAATTTTGTGACACTGTTTAAAGTTTTCAAAAAAATTTGAAAAGCTGTTATTGTTAGGTGCCATCTAGTTGATTCCAGTTAATAGTGACCCAGTGTGACAGAGCAGAACTGCTCCATAGGGTTTGCTAGGCTGTAATCTTCATGGGAGTAGATCGCCAGGTCTTCTCTCCCGCAAAGCTACTGGGTGGGTTCGAACCACCAACTTTTCAGTTAGCAGCCAAGTGATTAACCTTTGTGCCCGCCACCAGGGCTCCTTTAAAAGCTGTTCACATAAATAAACATAAAAACGTATTTAATCTTTTAAAGAAAGAAGAGAGTTTAGGTGACAGGTGAAATTCAAGTCATGGATTATTAGTATAACTCTTTTGACATATTATTGTCTCATACTGTTAAATAGCACGTGTTTTTTTTCCTTCTCCAATTAAATTTTAAACACTTTGGCATTCACCAGTAGGCCCAGTACGTACCTGCACACAGTAAGTGATAGATAAGATTTTGTTTAATGCATGAATAAATAAACTATTTAATTATTTATTAATGAAAATTGAATGACTAAGTCCTCCAGAAAAGCAAGAATTGGTACTTAAGTTTAGAAGTCTCCCTGATCCATTTGCTAGAGCTGCGTATTCTCCTGGGTCCCTTGCTGTGGGCTTAAGTTCTTTTATCCAAAGGGAGAAAATAAAGATGTGTGGGGTTTACATTAACTTTACTCAAAGAATTTGGTCTTTGTCCTTGGTTCCTGAGAGAGAACTTCTAAACACCTTGGAATTTCTTCCAGATGAGGAAATGAGGCATTTGATGAGGCTTCCAGACCACATCTGAGAGTTTATGCTAATGAGATGACTCAGGTTAGGGCTGGGCAGCCCAGAAAGACCATATTAGCTGACCTCAGGGGAGGTGGGCTGATTCACTCAATCATGTTTAAGTAATGAGTCCCCAAAAAAGGCTTTGGATATGGAAGCTCCATGGGCTTTCTGGTTGGTAAGAGACATCAATGCCCGGGAAAGGTGGTGCTTCCCTTTTTGGGGCATGGAAGCTGTTCATTGGAAATTCTCCCAGACCTTGTTCTATGCATCTCTTCGTTTGTACCCTTTTTGCTGTTATAAAGTCGTGATCGTAAGATAACACTTTCCAAGAGTTTTGTGAGTCATTCTAGCAAATTAAGGAGCCTGAGGGTGTAATAGGAGCCACCAAGCCTGAAACTAGGGAGCTGGGGACTCCAGACCTTATGGCTGGTATCCTGAATGGGTAGTGGGTAAATCCCAAATTTGTAGCCAGCATATCAAAGTGAGGATATTGTGGGAACTTCCAAGCTAGTGGCTAGTGTCTGAGGTTGTGGGCTGACTTAGCAGTCTAGAGGACTGTATCCTTTAGCTTGTGAGATCTGACCTAGCTCCAGGTGGTTAAGGTCAGAGGAGAAAGTGCTGAATGTGCAGCTGGTGCCAGAACAGAAGTGGAACCAAGGGGAACAGAACTGATAATAAATTGATTTGGGTTGATCAACACAGTTTGGTGTCTGAGAAGTGGAAGATTTTTATGTTTTCCACAGGTATGACTGAGCACCAAGTGGAATGGCCCAGGGTTCATGTTACAATTCTGGGTGTGATTTTGGACCATACTAAAAAATGAAAAGTATTTTTTAAGGAATCTTGTTTTTTTAGGATATATTTTTGCATACATCAACATAATTGTTAACAACAGTCATTTTAATTGTATTAAAATCAATGTGCATCATTTGCTTACTTACTCCTTATAAAATTTTCTTCAGTCTCATCCTCAATACTTAGTAAAGCGCCTCCTTGCAGCCGGCATGAAGAATGTGCCTCACTCCAAGAGAGAGATGAAAGCAGGTTGAACTGGTAGCAAATCTGTGAATTGAGGTCCTTCTCCCAGACAGCATCACAGCCTACCTCTGCAGAGGCTGGAAACAAAGTCCATTAAAAACTTTCACTACAGTTTTATTGTATCATCACAGTAATTTTTCTAAGGCGAATTTCAATGGAATGATCCCAACTTGCAACCCCTAAAACTTCAGAGCCTCATCTAGTCTTGATTAAGTCTTTATGATGACGTTTTCATTGCCACCCTGCTGACACCTATGGTTAAACTCTTTCAAGATTTACTAAAGAAATCCAAGAAATTATCAATAAAGAAGCTCTAATCTTTTATGGGAAAATAATAGAAACTAATCTTTTAAAAGAAGGAAATAGAAGTGAAGTATTTGTGAAAATAACATCTGAGTTCTTTAAAACACAGTCATTTAGAACTTTACACTTAACACAATGTGAATTTAAATGCTTAATTAAGATATGACTGGCTGTAGATGTTGTTTATAAGGACTTTTTTTCAATTACCAAAATGCTAGATGAAATAATAGAGATATAGTATAAACATGAGTCTATAATGAACACAAGTTTTCAAGTGAACACTGAAAACAGTGTTTAGGAAAGAAAGTTCTTTCACCCAGTGGAAGAGAAGCAAACAAAATCCACTTACAAGTCATTGGCCAAGGATTACACAGCATGATTAAAAGTAAACTTAATAAAGTCTGAAATGCACATCTGAAATGTGAAGTTTATTGAAATAACATAAAATGAAGACTGAGGTTGGGTACTTTTGTTAAAATTGTAAATCAAAACCCTAGGTGAACTAAGCAACCACAATAATTACCCGAAATCAAACTCAGCCAAATAATTTCAGGATATAGAAAATGTAAATTATACTACAGCATGAGTATAACTGATGAATAAGCAATCTGCTAAAATCTAGAACAGCCTTTCCCAGAATGTGGTCCACAGAGTATTACATTTTTAAGATGCTCCTCAAGAAAATCTGGGACATATTACATACTATAGCCTCCTGTGAGAAATTCACAAAGCACATTAACATTTTAAGGGCTCTAAGAAGTTCCATATAAAGAAACACACTTATTTTTTAAATTTTATTTATTTTGTTGTTGTTGTTGAGAATATACACAGCAAAACATTACACCAATTCAACAGTTTCTACATGTACCATTTAGTGACATTGAATACATTCTTTGAGTTGTGCCATCATTCCTACCCTCCTTTTCTGAGTGTTCCTCCCCCATTAACATAAATTCACCGCCCCCTAAATTTCCTATCTAATCTTCCAAGTTGCTGTTGTCAATTTGATCCCACAGATAGTTCTTAAAAGAGCATAATGCTCAAGGCATTTTTTCACTAGTTAAGCTACTAAACTATTGTTTGGTTTTAAGAAGACTTCAGGGGATATTTTTGGCTTAAGTTTTAAAGATGATCTCAGGGCAATAGTTTCAGGGGAACATGCTCAATTTTAATTCAATATATTTCAAGCTTATTTGACAATGAAATCTTTCTTGATTTCTTTTTCTCATAATACTAAGTTGCACGGTTCCTACAGAAAATGTGGACAGTTTGTTTTCACATCTACTTGTAGTATGCTTCTCCCAGAATGGAATTAACCAGAAGTTGTTAAACTACATGCAAATCCAAGGTTGTCTGTACAGTTTACTGACTGATACATGTATTTATAGAAGGATTCCATATTGAAGGAAGGCAGAAGACAAGACCAAGAAAAAATGTGAAGGAAAGAAACAGAAGGAAAGGGGAAAGAGTCTGGAGCAAGGGAGAATGAAGAAAATCAAAGACAAGGGAAAGAGATTAGTCCAAAGGACTAATGGACCACAGCTACCATGGCCTCCACCAGACTGAGTCCAGTAAAACTAGATGGTGCCTGGCTACCACCACTGACTGCTCTGACAGGGATCACAAAGGAGGGTCCTGGACCAAGCTGGAGAAAAATGTAGAACAAAATTCTAGCTCACAAAAAAAGACCAGACTTACTGGTCTGGCAGAGACTGAAGAAACCCCAAGAATATGGCCTCCAGACACCCTTTTAGCTCAGTAATGAAGTCATTCCTGAGGTTCACCCTTCAGCCAAAGATTAGACAGGCCCACAAAACAAAATGAGACTAAAGGGGCACACCAGCCCAGAGGCAAGAATTAGAAGGCAGGAGGAGACAAGAAAGCTGGTGATAAGGAACCCAAGGTCAAGAAGGGGAGAGTGTCGACATGTCATGGGGTTGGTAATCAATGTCACAAAACAATATATGTATTGATTGTTTAATGAGAAGTTAGTTTGTTCTATAAACCTTTATCTAAAGTACAATTAAAAAAAAAAAGAAAGAAAGGGGAAAGTGAGGAGGGAATTTTCAGTAACTACCTTGCCCTGGTGGCTGAAATTGCCAATTGAGATTCAGTCCCTAGAGACTGTCTTCAGTTAAAAAGCTAGACCATCCCTGAGATGAAACACACTAAGCAGATCAGACATCAACACGCTAAGCATTATCAGTCCAGCCATGTTCATCCAGTCTGATAGCTGAGACCATGAAGGGGAGCATTTGCAAAAGAATCATTTAGGTGGCCTGTAAAAAAATGCAGATTCCTAGTTCTCTGACTCAGAGATTCTGAATCATTAGGTCTGGGGTGGGGTTCAGGAACATGCATTATAAATATATTCCTGATTATCATGCAGATGGCCCATGAAGGAAATGTTGGAAAACACTGGCTTAAAGGAAAAAAAATTCAAAGCACTTCCCAGGGAGGGTGGGTCTGAGTAGCCCTTGGTTATTAAAAGACAGTAAAATGTCAGGGGGAGAAACCTGGTAAGAGAAAAGAGTCAGTCCTGGGAATGGGCTACTGGGTTCTCATCTCCTACCGTGGGGGAAGATTTGACAGTAAGTCCTAAGTATAAGCCATCTACATGACAAAAAAAGATCTGGAGGACACTGCAGTTGGTCCAGTTTCCATCTGCCAAGAGTTAGTCCTGCCCTTTCAACAGGACTTAGATTGCACTACCTGAATACAGGTTTTTGCTTTTGTATTAACCTGCCTGAATTCTACATATTAAACAGTTAAACTTAAGGTAAGAGGCTTGATGGTGATTCTGTCTGTGCTGCGAATTACAGAGCCCAGTTTATGTTCATAGATTTCCCTTGGTTTTGGATTCTCTATGTCAATTTTTAAAGTTAATCAAAAGGGAACCTCCAATCAAATGTCAGCAATGAGTCCCCATATTCTCCTAACAAGTAAGTTCATTTGTCATTGAAATTTGCTTTCAGCTAAAATATAAGCACTTGTACTTCTGTGTAAGCTGATACAATGTCCTCTGCCTGCTTCTCATGAAGGCTGTATGGTAACAAATGGAATGAAAGTGCCACTCTGGGCCAGGGCACTCTAGTGAACAGCAGATCTCCCTGAAGGACTGAAGGACTTATTGACCCACCTGCCAACAGACACTTCTCATCATTAAACCTTCTTCAAGGATTGCCTTCACTGAAGAGTCTCTTTGTCCAATGTCATGCTCCCTTTCCAAGGTCAGCTGGCAAACCATGACTGGTCAAGGAAGGGATATAGTGCCTGGCCTTCTCATCTCAATAAGGGGGAACTCTGAAGGGCCATCCTAGCCTGAGAACTCTTTACAGGGTCGGTCTAGGGGTCAGCAGGCCTGCATCACAGCTCCCTCTGCCCCGCTCTGCTTTCGTCCCTTCCTTTCCACACATATTGATCCTGAGAGCCCTCCCCAGTAACCTCCTGCCTGCCCATCTCAGAGACCTCAGAGACTTGTTCCACCTGGCAAGGGTTCCATCCTGGCCTGGATCTGAGAACTTATTTATTCTTAGCTCATTTGCTTCTTCATATGTAATCTCTCTTTCCAAGCCAATGAAAACGAAAAATTGAAGGTTGTGTCTCAGGTATGTTTAATTATTCTTGAAAACATCTAATCTAAGGACTAGAATCATATTAACAAATTTCTTTGCATCTTTGGTTGTCTTTATATTATCTCTTCTCTGTCTAAATTATGAATTCCTTAAGGAAAGCAACTGTGTCATATATATCTTTCAATCTCCTATTATTTGATGAAAATTACTGAAATCTTTTGTGTTGTTATAAATTGGTATTGGGTTTTTCCTCCCAAATGACACTTCTGTTTTAATCAGCTGAGGTATATTCATGTCAGCACTGACTTATAGATTATGACTGAGATCTAACCATTCCTCCTTCTCTGTTAATGTGGTTTGTTTTCCTTCCCTAAGGATACAGCTTTGCGGTTGCCCCGGTGTACTGTTTCTTACTACCTCTTTAAATGGTTGAATTCTTTTTTAAAACTGCATTCTTATACTATTAGAGCAGCTACTGAACTCCAAGCTGCAAAATTCCTATTTTTCTCTTGATTTGGTCTTTCACATATTCAGCAAGTACTTATTGAATTTCTGCTCCCTGCAAAGCACTGTGCTAGTAAATCGCATATAAAAGGGATGCCACACCAAGTCAGGATCTTTTTATATATACTCTTGGTGCTTACATGCTCCTTGGTAGTCCCAATCACAACTTTATGTGATTGCTTGTTGATTGTTTCTCCCGAGCACATGTCAAGAAAGCAGGTACCATGTTCCATCTTGTTCACTGCTATTCTCCAAGCTTGCCCACTAACATTTAAAGGTTATTGGCTATAGGAGAATAATCTACCAAAAGAAGCTGAAAAATGGTAGCCACAATGGAAAGGGAAAAACTAGTATATGTGGATTACAGAAGCCTAAGGAAAAGCCTAAGGTCAATTGTGTTGCATGTTGCTGAATCTTTGAGTAAGTTTAGGACTGAACAGTGTGATGAGATTTACTCCATTAGTAGTTTTGTGGGGCTCTGTTTCAATGGAGGAACCCAACCACCTGCCTTCTGTGTGTCTGTACCCAACATGTAAGCACTGCTGAGAAAAGTCATTCCAATCTAGCATACCATCAATTCATTACCAACCATCCCAAATGATTCCTGGAAATGCTGCTAGTTTTCTCTAGTAAGCTTATTTTCTCAGCAGTCACGATGCCCATTTTGTGCCTTTGCTGTTGTCCAAACCTCCCACTCCTTCCCCCTCTTCACAGTCACCAGACTAGTTTCTTCTTCACTTTCTCCCATGATCTAATCCATCAGCCTTCTTGCACTTGGACTATCAGGTCCCTCCTTCCTCCTATGGAGAAATTGGTTTTCGTTTATAAAAAGCCAGTCTGTCAACCTATGACCTGGGCCCTACTTCCTTCTGTCTTCTCTGAGACCACCAGTTGCCTTTGCTTTCCTGCATCTTCAACTTCTCTCTGCTAGAACATTTCCAGATGCATTCAGAGATGGCCTAGAATAGCTCATCTTTAAAAAATAAAAGCCAAAAATACTCCTAGTATAGTGGTCTGGGGTGTGGCTAATAATTTACATTTTTAACAAGTTCACAGGGAATGCTAATGCTACTGAAAGGGAGACCACACTTTGAGAACCATCGAGATACAGGATGCAGAGGGTCAGACAGGATGGGGTCCCCACCCAAGGAAGGAAGATTTGTCCTAGGTAAGGGGAGGAACACCTAGAGGAGGAAGGAAAGACAGGCGCAGACCCATATAGACTTCAGGTTTGGGAGAGAAGTTGTTGAAACTTCCCCTCTGATGGATCTTATTTTCTCTGAGGTAGGAATTGAGGTCATCTGATGAGAACGGAGGGAGGGGAATGGAAGGCAGGGCCTAGTTTAGTACACGTTGACAGACTGACAATAAAAGGGAGGGATCGCTGATTCAGAAGTGAAAGGATAAGCTAGGCTTGATGGTGATGGCAATGATGATGACAATGATGATAATGACTAATATTTGCTGAGTGCCTACCATGGGCCAAACACTGTAAGTGCCTTACATGCATCATCTAATTGAATCCTCCCAATAACTCTAATAAGTACTGTTATTATCCCCATTTTATGGATGAAGAAACTGAGACTTAGAGAGGTAGAGGGACCCTATGAAGATCTCATCATTGGGAGGAAGCAGGACTCCTATCTAGGTCTGTCTGATTTCAAAGCCTATACTCTTCCGTAACCACTAAGCTATACTAACTCTTAGATTAAAAAATAATTCTACCAAAAAAAAATTCGACAGATAATTTACAAATCAGATTCTTGAGAGTTGTCCTCTTCAATTTGTTTTTGTTTCAAATTTATTTGTTGCATTTTATGTATATGTGGAGAGGTGGATATGGAAGATGAGATGATTATAAAAGCTGTACTCCCTGACTCACAGGAAACAAGGTGAAAGAAATTAAATACAGAAAGTAGGAGATTAGGCTCTGGATAAGTAAAGCACTATTGAAGAAGAATAAAGTAGGAGGACTCAGAACCTACTATACAGCTATGGTAGTCAAAACAGCCTGGTACTGGTTCAATGACAGACACATTGACCAATGGAACAGAATTGAGAACCCAGATGTAAATCCATCTACCTACAGTCACCTGATCTTTGACAAAGGCCCAAAGTCCATTAAATAGGGAAAAGACAGTCTTTTTAAAAAATGGTGCTGGCAAAACTGGATGTACATCTGCAAAAAAAAAATGAAACAGGACCCATACTTCACACTATACACAAAAACTAATTCAAAACTGGACCAAAGACCTAAATATAAAACCAAAAACTCTAAAGATCATAGAAGAAAAAAAAAAAAAGGTCAACGCTAGAGGCCCTAATACACGATACAAATCATAACTAACAACACACAAACTCCAGAAGGTAAGATAGATAACTGGGATCTTCTAAAAATTAAACACTTATGCTCATCAAAAGACTTCACCAAAAGAGTAAAAAGAGAACCTACAGACTGGGAAAAAATTTTGGCTATGACAAATCTGACAAAGTTCTAATCTCAAAAATCTATAGGAAAATTCAACACCTCTACAGCAAAAAGACAAATAATGCAATTAAAAAATGGGCAAAGGGTATGAACAGACACTTCACAAAAGAAGACTTTCATGTGGCTAATAGACACATGAGGAAATGCTCGAGATCACTAGTCATTAGAGAAATGCAAATCAAAACTACAATGAGATGCCATCTAACCCCGACATTACTGACATGAATCAAAAAAACAGAAAATAACAAATGTTGGGGAGGCTGCAGGGAGACTGGAACTATTATGCACTGCTGGTAGGAATGCAAAATGGTGCAACCAATTTGGAAAACCATATGGCACTTCCTTAAAAAGCTAGAAATAGAAATACCATATGATCCAGCACTCCGACTTCTAGGAATATAGCCTAGAGAAATAAGGGCCATCACACAAGTAGACATATGCACACCCATGTTCATTGCAGCATTATTCACAATAGCAAAAAGATGGAAATAACCTAAGTACCCATCAACAGATGAATGGATAAACAAACTACGGTACGTACACACAATGGAGTACTACGCAACGATAAAGAACAATGATGAATCTGCGAAACGTCTCACAACACGGATGAAACTGGAGGACATTATGCTGAGTAAAATAAGTCAATCACAAAAGGACAAATACTGTATGACACCACTATTATTAAAACTCATGAAAAGGTTTATACACAGACAGAATCTTTGATGGTTACGAGGGAGGGGACAGATAGGGAGGGAAAAACACTAAGTAGAACATAGGTAAGTGGTAACTTTGATGAAAGGTAAGACAGTACACAATACTGGGGAAGCCAGCACAACTTGATCAAGGCAAGGTCCTGGAAGCTTCACAGACATATCCAAACTCCCTGAGGGACCAAATTACTGGGCTGAAGTCTGGAGACCATGGTCTTGGGGGACATCTAGCTCAACTGGCATAACATAGTTTATAAAGAAAATGTTCTACATCCTACTTTAGTGAGTAGCGTCTGAGGTCTTAAAAGCTTGTGAGTGGCCATCTATGATACTCCACTGGTTCCACCCTGTCTGGAGCAAGGGAGAATGAAGAAAACCAAAGACCCAAGAGAAAGATTAGTCCAAGGAGGACTAATGGACCACAGCTACCACAGCCTCCACCAGACTGAGTCCAGCACAACTAGATGGTGCCTGGCTACCATCACCGACTGCTGTGACAGGGATCACAATACAGGGTCCCCGACAGAGCTGGAGAAAGATGTAGAACAAGATTCTAACTCAAAAAAATAAGAGGCCAGACTTACTGGTCTGACAAAGACTGGAGAAACCCCAAGAATATGGCCACTGGACACCCTTTTAACTCAGTACTGAAGTCACTCCTGAGGTTCACCCTTAATCCAAAGATTAGACAGGCCCATAGAACAAAACGAGACTAAAAGGGCACACCAACCCAGGGGCAAGGACGAGAAGGCAGGAGGGGACAGGAAAGCTGACAACAGGGAGCCCAAGATTGAGAAGGGGAGCATGTTGACATGTGTGGGGTTGGCAACCAATGTCACCAAGAAATATGTGTATTAATTGTTTAATGATAAACTAATTTGCTCTGTAAACCTTCATCTAAAGCACAATAAAAAAAAAAAAAAAACTGATTATGAGCTTCAGCTGTTAACCAAGAGGTCAGCAGTTTGAATCCACCAGCCGTTCCTTGGAAACCCCATGGGGCAGTTCTACTTTGTCCTGTAGGGTTGCTATGAGTCGGAATTGACTCAATGGCAAGGGGTTTGGATTTGGTTTTTGTGTATATATATCCCAATACTTAGTAACCAAATCTTTTGCCTAAATAAAAATAAAAACAAAAAGTCAAGATAAAATAAAATAATAAAAGCACTAAATGGAAAAAAGAACATTAGAGCTGACCCTGGACCAGAAAACTAAGCTAATAAAAGAAAAAGATTTGGAGGGTATATGTAGAAAACGAGTAATAAAGACAGAGAATCAAGATGAGAACTTACTGTGGAGAAATAATGAGAACAACTATGATTTTGGAAAGGTCACGAAGGGGCTAGCTGATACCTGGATTTGCCAATGGACAAGAGAAGCAGTCTGGGCGTGGAGAGTTAAGCCAGCTCATAAGAGGAAGTGGTTGAAAGGATAACTGGGTTTTATATATGCATTCAGGTTTGTTTTGAAGTAACCTGCTGGGAAGCTGGGATTAATGAGATCACAGAGTATTATAATTTGATTCCAGTTAAAGAATCCTTATGCACTGAGCTTAAAAGTGGCTGATTAACATCCTTTGAACCTAAGGAAAAAAGGGATATACATCAGAACTGTCTTTTCAAGGCAAAAACAAACACAAAATCAAAATCTGTATTAATGGAATCAGAGTGCTTATTTAGACTTCAATATATCAATCCTGGTGCTTTTCTTTAGCTACAGATAACTTCCTCATCATCCTTCATTCATGACATACGATTCATTCATGACATAAGCAGAAGATTAATTTTATTCTTACTGGGATCTGGGCAGAATCCCCACGTCTCATCTTGTTCATAGTGGCTTGTTGTGGCACACCACAGTAAACCATCGGCCCGACCTTCCCGGGTGCACTCGTGATGCCATCGCTGGTTATACTGGAATGGAAACATACATGGCATTCCATGGGCATTCCCTTTAATTGTATACAAATCTAGGAGAAAGAAAATTACAAAATTCAGTATTATGCTAGCTTAATCTCTGGAAACTGTTGAATAGTTTAATGCATTTTTTAAAAATTTTATTTTTTGTGACAATATACACAGCAAAGGATACCTCACTTCAACAAATTCTACATGTACAATTCAGTGACATTGTTTACATTCTTCAAGTTTTGTAACTGTTCTCGCTATCCTCTTCCAAATTATTCCACCACCATTAATGTAAAGTCACTGCCCCCTACGCTTCTTATCTAACCTTTTGAGATGCTGTTGTCAATTTGAGCCCACATAGATAAATCTTTAAGAAAGCACAATGCTCAAGGAAGACATACTTTTAATGCATTTTTATTGACTTAAAACCTACTATGAACAAGGCTTTTATTATTCCAAGGTGAACCGGGACTTCACTGTCTACTGTTTATAAAATGGTAGGCTGAGTGCTAGGTTCAAAGGAAGTGCTGATAAAAGTTTTGTTTATATATTTATTTATTTGTGCCCTGCTACGGTACATATATTTGCGAACAGATGACAAGGAACATTTCATGATGTGTCCTGAAATACCTGTTGTTCCTAAGCAGCTACATCCCTAAACACTAGGGCTGGTGACGTGGCAATTGTGGGAAATTGCCTCTACCAGAAAGTGGTAGGAATCTCCTCAGCTGGCCCTTTCACACAGGACCTATTTATTTGACTGAGGGTGGTCCTGATCCCCCTCACCATAGAAGGCCCCAGGTGAGTCATGAAAATTTTTGTTTCTTGCTCAAGGTGAAAGATGGTTATTACAATACTCTGAGAAAATAGCTGAAGGCCACCTCTGCATCATCATTGCTCCTCTAGACTGCTGTTCTAGCTAGTCACCCCCACTTTGCCTGCTCCCCATCTAGGCTCTGTTCTCCACACTGCACGCTGAGTGAGTCTTTAAAAATGGAAATCTTATCATGTCACTCTCCCATTTCATGAGTACTTTGATTTAGTTTATTTATTCACCTTTATGCAGATATTCGCAAATGCCTCCACCACCTGACATATAGGAAATCCACTTATGAAGATATTTCCATGAGGCTACAATGGTGTTGTTGTGCTTCACCTGGACCATGTACTGGAGTGGGCCCATGATTATCTTCCTGTTACAGCGCCATCTCAAGGAGATGTGGTTAGAATCACATTCATATATGTTCAATGGGGGCTCTGGGTTAGATAAATTCAGACCCAGGCAACCACTACCTCCTATATTAAAGAGGCGCTGCTTTGAAACCCATTTCCACAGCATATTCTTGTTTGGTTGTTTGCAGTTCTCCAGAGTAAGTCCAGATTTGCCTGCTTGAATGCATGTCTTGAGACTCTCACTTTGGATAACAAAAATTCCTTTAGCTAAAATAGAAAAACAAAAGATACTGTATTAAATTTTCATATATAATTAAGTAGTGTCATGATGTGTCTAAGCTGTGATAGCTCACAGCTTCCAGTCATCTCAGATAGCTCTGGAGTTGATAGATAGGGTCCACCTGAAGCGATTTATTTGCATAAACCAAAGAGTGTCTTGGGAAGGATAAATCTACTTATTGGAGCTGATTTAAGAGCATCATGGCCATACAGGAACAAGGGCAGCCTGTTAATCCAGTCAGGTAGGGTTCTGGACAGAGAATGGAGGTTGGTAATAATACTCAGGGCTAGAGGGGAGGGATGTTGGGTGCCAGAGGTGTGTAGACATTCTGGTTGACTTCAGACAAGTGCCTGAAAGTTAGGAATTGTGGCTGGAATAAAAAATCACTGAAAGAAAAATCTTTATCAAAATATTCTCTTAGCATTTTGTTGGATGGTGCTGGCAGCAGCAGGTGAATGCCTAGAACTCTAGCAGGCCCTGCACCTAGATATGTGGGAAGAGCTAGAGCACCCTAATGGCACAGAAGACACAGAGGCCACGTGGAAATGTAGAGAAAAGAAGACACTTCAGCACTTTGTGACATATCCCTAGTGTCTACCTCCAGGAGCAAGAAGAAGGGATTTGAGTGAGATTCCTGTGGTAAAGTTGGTAGGGCCTAGCCAAGGAACATGTGTTAATTAACCACCCCCTTCTTGACTTTACCTCAAGTTGCTGGGTTGGAAATCACATATTATACAATTATGACTTTGTTCTCGCATAGGTTTTTTGAAGGCCGAAATCACATCTCATTTCTTTTGTCTAAGCAAAGAGTGTGCACATCGCAGAAGTTCAGTAAATGCTTGATGTTGATTTAACGCTATGGTGGCAACTATTGGTAAGGTCTGTTTGCTGAATTACCTCAGCTCATAATATCTGGTCAGGTCTAGGGGCCCTATTTCTAAGTGCTCTTTCATTCTCTCATCAGCTAAGCTCCTCTTACATTTCACTTCCTGTCTATTCTTCAAGTCAGATTTCAAAATCTGAAGGAATATTATCAGGTTTCCTTAAAATGGCTGGGGTTTAGGGTGGGTCATGTGACAGAGGCACAGCAGGATTACGCAGAGACCTTCTAGACATTCGGAATAGAGCAGAACAGAACACCTCATACACCAGGGCGTGGGAACGACACTTCATTTTGATAAAAGCTCTTTTGGTTTCCCCAAAGTCAATCAGGGTGAGGGAAACTGATTTACAGTAACCAAAATCATTTAAGACTCTGTTAAAAAAATATTTTCAATGTATTAATGAAAGCTATATCTCATTAAATAATTGATAAACTGACTTATAGCTATATATTTGAGGAGGTGAATTAGTTGTCAGAAAACTGCTTTAATCACCATACATCAGACAAAAGAAAAGGGAGTGTGGGAGGAAGAGAATGAGTAGTTTTAGGGAGATTTCATTTAGATCAGGAAATTTGTTTTCCTAATGAAGGCCATGTCTGTATGGTTATTAGTGATAGTCATTCAAAATCAAATCCACCTCTCGCTGATGCAATGTGGGCTCTGATTAATTAACCTTTTCTCTAACTCTCCTTTTCACCTTTTCATACCTGGGTAGAATGTTAACCTTAATTTCTGGTGTAACCTACTAATTACTTTCCAGCTAGCCCACAGTTCCATTAATTTTTCACTAAAGGATAATTATTTTACCATAATGGTTCTGTAGTTCAGCTTCTACCTAATACATGTATGTTCAAATATAGCTAGCTCTGCAACTTACTGACTGTATTTAAGACCTTTGGGCCTCAGTTTATACACCTAAGGCAGGCAGGTAGACTATCTGGCTAGTGGTTAGGAGCTTTGGAATCGGGCAGTCCCAATCACTGAGATTGGCTGTGTAGCTTTGGGCAAACTGCTTGATCTCAGTGAGCCTCATCGTCCCCAGTATGAACTGGGGATAAGCATGGTACTACCCACATAGGAATGTTAAGTTTTGCATTAAATAACCATGTAAAGCACATAGCATAATACTTCAGCATGGAAAAACCAGTTGCCATCAAGTTGGTTCTGACTCAGGAGGTCCCATGTGCGTCAGAGTAGAACTCTGCCCCACAGGGTTTTCAATGGCTGAATTTTTTGGAAGTAGATGGCCAGGGCTTTCTTCCGAGGTGTCTCTGGGTGAACTTGAACTTCCAACTTTTGATTAGCTGTCAAGCACGTTTTAACCATTTGCACCACCCAGGGATTCCTCGGCATGGGAAGACCTTAGTAAATATGAGTTGTTGTTATTGTTATTTCTCTGATTCATGATTCATGATCTGTAGATCCTGCCGTAGATCTGGTTGAACTCCTTTAGGGTGCTAATCTGAATGCTCTCCAAAGGCTTCTCTTCTTCCATCATTAGCACTAAAGCTCATTTTTACTTTAGCTTCTGCAACACATAGTGGGTGCAGACTGTTTAGTTGTAAACAATCCTGAAACACCATGTTATCACCTTTTTTTGGAGGAAAAATACTCTCTAACAACACCTTTGTCTCATTTGTTCAAATACACGTGTAATTATGAATTAAGAGACTTCATCTATCTTCCATATTATCGACCTATAAAGTCTATACTGCTGCTTTTTTTTATAGGAAAGATAAAAATACATGATGTTGACAAGCAGTATACGATGGGTGGATGATGGGTGGTCTGTGAGTAAGTGGACGTGGAAATTGTACACCACCAAAATTTGGGGTGAATAATGTTTTTAAATTTCCAACTTATAAAGTGTTAAGAGAAAAAAACAGATCCAATCAGAGCTTCTATAGCTAAACCAATGATCATAAAAATACCTTTCCAAAGCAGGAGACATTAAACTTAATCCCATGTTGCTCGATTCTGGAGCGCTATTACATTTCCATGTCTGCTGCCTTTAGAATGTAGCTCTGGAAAAGTCCCCATAAACAAGTAGCTCTGGCTTACCTATAACAATAAACATTCTACCTCCAAAAAAATATTATATGGAGTTAAAAAATGACCCTGGCCCATTTTCCTCATTAAGGTATAGTAGCAACATTAATTTCCATAAAGTCACTGAAGAGAAAACAATTGCTTTCAAATAGACTACCAGGAGAATCCATATAGGTATCAATATTCTGATTGTTATCTGGGTAACTGTAACAAAATACAATGTGAAAATGAGCCACCAATCCTAAGTGTCTGAAGTTGTCAGATTTCAAAAAGGATGAAAATCAAATGTGGGAGGAATCAAGATTGATTATATATGTCAAAGACATCAGTTCTGCTTGAACACTCATTAAGTGATTAATGAAGTACTGCCAGAATTACTAAATCTCTTTGCAAGGAAATGTTATTATACCCCCCTTCATAATTATAAGTTTGGGAGGAGGAAAAGGATTGATTTACTGTAAGTAACTTATGAACTAATTTCCGTATTTTTTTCAGATAAAATCCATGGGAGACAGTGGTCATATTTTCTACTTCTGAGTTCTTTTTAGGAGGAGTTCCCATCAGACTTACCCTTCAGCCTCACACAATAACATGTACTTTTCTAAGGAGTGGGAGGAGAATGTTTTCTTTTTTTAAATTTTTTTTTATTGTACTTTAGATGAAGGTTTATAGAACAAATAGTTTCTCATTAAACAGTTAGTACACATATTGCCCTATGACAATGGTTAACAACCCCACGACATGTCAACACTGTCCCTTCTCAACCTTGAGTTCCCTATCACCAGCTTTCCTGTCCCCTCCTGCCTTCTAGTCCTTGTCCTTGGACTGTTGTGCCTCATTAGTCCCATTTTGTTTTATGGGGCTGTCCAAACCCCAGATGAACGGTGAACCTTGGGAGTGACTTCACCACTGAGCTAAAAGGGTGTCGGGGAGCTTCTCCAGTCTCTGTCAGGCCAGTAAATCTGGTCTCTTTTTGTGAGTTAGAATTTTTTTCTACATCCTTCCCTAGCTCTGTCCAGGACCCTCTGTTGTGATCCCAGTCAAAATAGTCAGTGGTGGTAGCTGGGCACCATCTTACTGTACTGGACTCAGTTTGGTGGAGGCCATGGTAGCTGTGGTCCATTAGTCCTCTGGACTAATCTTTTCCTTGTATCCTGTTCTCTTCATTCTCCCTTGCTTCTGAAGGGGTGAGACCAGTGGAGTATCTTAGATGGCTTCTCACAGGCTTTTAAGACCCCAGACGCTACTTACTCACCAAGGTAGAATGTAAAACTTTGTGTTTATAAACTGTGTTATGCCAGTTGAACTAGATGTTCCCCAAGACCATGGGTTCCCACAGCCCTCCACCCAGCAATTCAGTCTCTCAGGGAGTTTGGATGTGTCTATGGAGCTTCCATGACCTTTGCTTGTACGAGTTGTGCTGGCTTCCCCAGTATTGTGTACTCTTACCCTTCATCACAGTTACCACTTATCTATTGTCTATTTCATCCCCCCCTTCTATCCCTCATAATCAACAAAGATTGTCTTTTTTTAATGTGTAAACTTTTTCATGAGTTTTTACAGTAGAGGTCTCATACAATATTTGTCCTTCTGTGACTGACTTATTTCGCTCAGCATAATGTCCTCCAGTTTCATCCATATTATGAGATGCTTCACAGATTCATCATTGTTGTTTATCATTGCATAATACTCCCTTGTGTGTATGTACCACAGTTTGTTTATCCACTCATCTGTTGATGGTTGTTTCCAACTTTTTGCTATTGTGAACAATGCTGCCATGAAGACGGGTGTGCATATGTCTATTCATGTGATGGCTCTTATTTCTCTAGGATATATTCCTAGGAGTAGGATTGCTGGATTGTATGGAATTTCTATTTCTAGCTTTCTAAGGAAGTGCCATATCATTTTCCAAAATGGTTGTATCATTATGCATTCCCACCAGCAGTGCATAAGAGTTCTGATCTCCCCGCAGCCTCTCGAATGTTTGTTATTTCCAGTGTTTTCGATTCATGCCAGTAATGCCGGGGTGAGATGGTATCTCTTTGTTGTTTTCA